AACCCAGGACAGCTACCTGAATCACCCTGCAAAGACTTCCTTGTATAACATAACATTCAACCTTCAGATGGCCAATTGATTGCATCTGATGTCTTCAGGCCACCAGTGACATCACCAGTAGCTCTGGAAATCCCTTTGCAGGATGAAGACATTATACTGTTTGTAGCTTCTGTTTGCCCCTCTCCATCGGGGCCAGCTTCACAGAAGAGCACGACAAACACTTTGTGACTGAGTGTGCAGAGTGGGTGCTGCTGTCTGCACCCCCCCCACCCCCTGCCTCAGCTCCAACCTCAAGAAGAGAAAGAAGTTCAGGGCTCCAGCTCCCCGTAAGTAACCCTCACCTCTCAGAAACCAAAGGAAGCTCCGGATGATACTCCACATGCTGCCAGCACCTCCCATGGTCTCTGATGAGCGCCAGACAAAAGAAGGCTTCCAGGGCCATGCCCCTGCTGCAGAGCATGCAGTGCTGTCTTGGAGTCTAAGCAGGCTGGGCTGCAGTGTGGTCACCCCTTCCACTTCCATGATTCCAAGTAGGAAGATGGGGAGGGAGAGACTGAAATTAGCCTGTTTCTCCCAAATAGTACACAGTGCACAGGAGAGAGGGGCAGTGCCCAGGAGGCCCTACCATCTGACCCTGACTCCCTGCTGGCAGTAACATTCAAGTCTTTTTAGCCACCTGTCTTGCCTCCATAATCCCTTATCCAGCAGCACCTAGAGCATCTTGGTCTCTGGTCCTAGTTATGGGGTTCCCTGAGATCAGTAGGGCTATTTTCCACTCCAGGCCAGAGTCTCTGCCCCTCAACAGCTGGGAGCACTCTGAAAGCTGAGGTATATTGGCCTCATCTGGATTGCATGGGTTTCATGCAGGCTCTTCTTGGTTCTGGAGGCTTCCATTCCCTCCCCATGCAGGAAGAGGGGTTGAAAGAAGTGGATGGTGTCTGTAACTGGCAAGCAGATTTTCATGAGCTCCGGAGGTGGAAAGAGTCTATCCATGTGCCAAGGGTGGATAGGGAGGCCCAAGGAGCGAGCAGGATGCCCACAGAGTCCAGGTGCAAGTTTGACTCTGACAGAACTGGCTGGAACTGGTCATGCATTTGCCCCACTTGACCTTTTCTGCAGTGCAGAAATTGCCACAAGACCCAGAAACGCCATGCCACTTGGGGAACTACAGTAAGCTGAGGCTATTTGTGACTTGGGTTATTGCTGGTGGTGGTTTTGAGAGCATATCAAAGCCTATATAAAGCTCATCAATGGACAACATAGTTCACTCTGCATAAAACCTACCCAAGTGCCCTGTCCACACTCTGCCCCCTGTCGTGTGGCAGGCGCCCCAGCCTCAGGTGAGTCTGGGCACTGCTCTGCTCCCCAACCTCCCCCATCAACCCCTGTTTGCTTCTGCCTGAGCCCACCTGGGCAAGAGTGGATCTGCCCAGACTGGGAAGGCCCACCCTGAGCCCAAACACACCCCACCCTTGTCTCCACCTATCCCCCTCTGCCATCCCACTGCTGCCAGAAGCTGAGCCCTCCACCTGCCACCGAAGAGAGGGAAAGACCCCACCTGCACTCACTGGAAGAAGAGATGGGAAGAAGGCAGAGTAAGAACACACTCAACAACAGAAAAACCAATATGACTCACCAGAATCTAGGGACTCCACACCACCAAGATCTGAAAAGCCCAACACAGAGGATGAAGAAGAGATGGACCTCAAAAATTATCTTAGGAAGATGATGGAGAACTTTAAGGAGGAAACAGGAAAATCCCTTAAAGAAATATAAGAAGAAATATATAAAGAAAAACAAGCAAAAATAATATGAAATGGAGGAAAAGATGAACCAAAAAACTCAAGAAGTAAACAAATCTCTTAAAGAATCTAAAGAAAGCCAAGAAAAAACAACCAAACAAGTGAAGGAAGCACTAAAAACAGTTCAAGGCATGAAAGCTGAAATAGACACACTAAGGAAAACACAAAACAAGGGGATGCTGGAAATAGAAAGACTGGATAAATGATCAGGAACTAAAGATGTGAGTATAACCAATAGAATTCAAGAGATGGAAGAGAGAATCCCAGTTGCTGAAGACTCCATAGAGGATGTACAGTCATCGACCAAAGAAAATCTCAAGTCTGACAAATCCCTAACACAAAATATCCAGGAAATATGGGACATTGTGAAAACACCAAACCTAAGAATGGATATAGAAGAAGATAAAGACATTCAGCTGAAAAGGTTCAGAAAACCTATTCAACAAAATCATAGAAGAACACTTCCCCAACATAAACAAGGATATGCCTATGTAAGTACCTATGAAAGTACAAGAAGCTTACAGAACATCAAACAGACTGGACCACAAAAATAAGTCCTCTTGACACATGATAATCAAAACGCCCAACCTACAGAATAAAGAGAAAATGTTAAGAGCAGCAAAGGAAAAAGGCCAAGTAACATATAAAGGCAGACTTAACAGAATCACATCTGATTTCTCAATGGAAACTTTGAAAGCCAGAAGGTCCTGGATAGATATTCTCCAAACACTAAGGGAGCATGGATGCCAACCCAGACCACTGTACCTAGCAAAACTTATAATCACGATAGATAGAGAAAACAAGATATTCCATGAAAAAACCAGACTTAAACAATACATATCCACAAATGTAGCACTGCAGAAAGTTCTGGAAGGAAAACTCCAACCCAACGAAGATAACTACATTCACAAAAACATAGGCAATAGATAATCCAATTTTACAAAATATGAAAAGAAACAGGAGGGCGAAATACACACACAATGACACTACCAACAATAAATCCATAACAAACAAGAACCAGCAATCAATGGACATGAATATCCCTCAATATCAATGGTCTTAACCTGCAAATAAAAAGATACAGGGTAACAGAATTGATACAAAGACAGAATCTGCTTCTGCTGTATATAAGAAACACACCTCAACTTCAAAGACAGTGTCATCTCAGAGTAAAGGGTTGGGAAAAGATTTTCCAATCAAATGGGCCCAAGAAACAAGGCTGCTGTAGCAATCCTAATATCTAACAAATTAGACTTCAAACTAAAATCAATCAAAAGAGATGAAGAAGGGCATTTCATACTCATCACAGGAAAAGTCCATCAAGATGAAGTCTCAATCCTGAACATCTATGCCCCCAATACGAAGGCACCCACATTTGTAAAAGAAACATTACTAAAGTTCAAACCACACATAAAACCACACACACTTATAGTAGGAGACTTCAACACCCCACTTTCACCACTAGACAGGACCACCAGGCAGAAACTTAACAAAGAAACAAAGGATCTAAAAGAAA